ATTTTCTAGTTCACGGTCATATGAACACTACTGACAAAGTATTACATGTGTGTGTACAATCACGCTTGGTTCCCTAAAAGCCAACACTACACTGACTGTTAATTATCTTACCAGATGCCGTTACTTTCAATTCATTCCCATTTTCATCCACTTGAATTACTGCTGGTGATCCTTCATCTGCCTTTATTTGATCTCTATTTTGAGACTGATTTGTAGCATCAGTTTTATTTTCTGATTTTTTGGCATCTCTCTCACTTTCACCAAGTGACTGTTCACGCACTACTTCTGCTATCCTATGAGGAGTGTCAAACTCTTTTTGCTTCATTTTGTCTAAAACTTGATCCTTTTTTGAAGAATGTTTTGACTTCTTGCTTTCCAACCTTTTCCGTTTTTCTTTTTCACACTGGAAAAACTTCACTACATGATCACAGCCTCGAACAAACTTAGGAAGACTGCTAAACAACCTAAAGAGTGAAAAAAAAACAAACACGAAGTGATAATCATTCACATAATGAAAACTTTATGGATCAATCAGGTCCCATCAAGATTCCAATTTGTAAGATAATTCACATGCATTAGAGGCAGTGGAGATTTGTGAGATTATCACATTCATGACATGAATATGAAGCCAGTAGCTTGCAGGAAAACAAGGTATTTAAATTTGAGGAAAAGGAAACCCATAACAAAATAAACAAGTGGTCCATCAACTGTAACAACACGCATGCAGTACTATACACTTTTTCAATATATGGATTTAGCCAGGGCTAAAAGCGAAGCTCTCGTTAATATACCTATAATTCACTCAAACAAAAAATAAAATCAAGCAATGCTAAATGGCGACAACAACAAGAACTGCAAAAAAATAATAGTCTAATTAGCAACCAAAAAAAACTTTGCACGTGCAGCACACGTTTTGGCACATTTCTTTGATGTTGTTTTGCACTACCACAAAGTGAAACTTTCTAGTTACACATTTTATGGAAAAAAATGTTTTATACGCTCACCAAAGATTTTGCTGCTTGTTTTCCTGCTCGCTTTTTTTATTGCCGCTTATTTTTACCTTGCTGGGTTCTCCTTGCTGACCCCTAACATTTCTCATTTTCTCACCGCCGAAATAAAATTGTTGTGTTTTTTTTTCCCCACAAAATTCATGATTCTGCTATGAAAATAGTGTTAACAGTGGTGCATTGTCCATTTACTGTATCATGAATAGGACACATGACCATCGCACTTGGGTTGCTAGTAATTGTTCAAAGTGTACACTTGTTTATTGTGCTTGCCAGATGCAGGTTATTAAGCGTGTTGTGTTGATCAATATTTATCAGTCTACTTACAATATGCTTCGCACCATATGGCAGCTCACCATGGCCATATAGTTCAGTGATTAGAGGGTACAACCCGCAACTGGAAGATCATGAGTTTGTTCCTGCTGGGGAGCTTGAATTTTTTCCGAGCATTTCTTCATGTATTCAATTACCTATATATCACTGTCATCAGTTTTCTAAAGCAAACAACAAATATGTACACTTGCAATGCACTTATATTTTACTTAACTGGGACAACATACCGAATGTAGTCTGTTATATCAGGGATGGGTGTTTTCTCTCCTTTCTGCTCAGGTTTATTAAAAATTCTGATCCTCCCTACAAAACAACCACAGCAATAAGCAACTTAAGCCAATAAATCTCATGTCACCTTCTCCATTTAACTTTACAGTACTTGTAAAATTTTCTTTGTTTGAAAATATTCAGTTTTTCCATTTACTGAAGTAGATTTAAGGAGGTAAGGAATTCAACTAACCTACCAGTATCCCCTGCATATTTGTGGCTGGGGTTTGAGTTTGTGCAAGTCACTGTTCCACTACATGTACATGTATATAGGCACATGCAGTTTCTCAGAGTAGAGGAATTTCAGGTTACAAATCTGAAGCTAACACGAGGGATGGGTAGAAAAGAAGTGCTGACAGTAAAAAACTATAATTATAAATGTAGGCAATGGTAATGTAAATATACAGATAAAGATAACTAAGTCATCAGGAATGCCTTACCTGGTAAGAAAGGTAGTTTCCATGGATTGCCATTTGTGTCCACTTTGTTTGGGTACATTTTCCGTAACTTAAAATAAAAGATATTCAGTGAAAATGTTTGCAGTGGTACGGGTACAGAAATAACCATAACAAACATAAGAGGGGGTCTGATCGGGTGTCTTGAAAACAAAGACCCTTCCGACCCCCCACCGAATGACTCTGAGCTTTATTGATGTAGGATTAGGAAACTGAGTTAATCAGGTTCCATTTAAGTTATTATACTGGACAAACCGACCTTTAACCCAGTCTCCTAACCCTAATCAGTAAAGTTCAGAGTCATTCGGTGGGGGGTCTTAGGGGTCTTTTTTTTCAAGACACCAGGTCTGATCTGTTGTATAACTGTTGTATAGCTGAACGTTGTATAACTATGTGCTGTTGTAAAGGGTAAGGTTTTCAAGTAGTTTGGTCTGTTCCCTGGTATAAAAATCAGATCACGTTAGCCTAGAATAGGATACTGGGCTGTTCCTATCAGGGCCAGGTACCAGGGAATCCCCCCACCCCAGTCACCCGACACCATCAGCATAACACTGACTGCATGCTCCCTAACTATTCAATTCTCTGTCAGCAAGTTGCAAACAAAATATTCAGGACAACCCTAGGAACTCTTTCACGATAACGTAACCAACATATTTTGCAGCACTTATTTCAAATTTTGTGATTCAGCCAATTAAATACATAATTTACAAGAAACTATAATTGCCAGATAGAAATAGCTGATGAAGAGAGTTCACACACTGAAATGAAAATAGGGATCATGGAGATAAAAATATTGTGGACTGGCCCCGATGTTGACAGCAGGGTATTAATTAAGTTTGCTTGATTAATTTTCATGACAGCTAATTTTGTGGGTCTCAAATTTTGCGATTTTCACAGTCATGAAAATAACATGCTGTAACAGTATGGTATCGTTAATTTATAGGAATTTCATTATTGGCATCAGTATTTGGTACTGATAGTGTGGATGGATAAGAGAATAACTTAATAGGGTTACAATGAAGATGGTCTAGTAGAGGCTTAAGGCTGGTTCTTACTAACAATGGAATCAGAGTTGGAGTCATAATCAGAAGTGTAGAACTTATGACCTAGTGAAAAGAGCCTTCCAATTCCGCTTATGATTCCATCTCTTAAGTTCCACTTATGATCTAGTGAAAACCAGATTGTCAGAGTCAGAAGCAGAAGCAGAAGAACCAAATCAATCACAAAGCATAGGAACGTGCATTGTGATTGGTTTATCCTTTCACTTCTGCTTCCGACTCTGACAATCTGGTTTTCACTAGATCATAAGCAGAACATAAGCGACAGAGATGTACGCCAGCATGCAAAGAAAGTCATGTCAGATAGCCCGGGGCTAGTGAATTTTACTGTCGGGCTAGTGAATTCTGCTCTTAAGGTAATTCCCTTGTTTTGCACTGTGCACCCTCTACTGCGCATGACATTGCGACATCCCAGATGGCAGCGGTTCTTCCCACTAGTGTGAAAAGAACAAGCAAGGGCTGCTTTTACAGATCTTAAGCTTTTATTCGCAATAAAATGCTGCAGATCAGCTGACAGCTTCCTGGTTTGCTATCGAAAAACAAGAAAATGAAAGAAATGTGCGTGATCCCGAAGTCTACAGTGGTTTTTCACTATGCGGCCATCGAGATGTGGAATTAGTAAACTGTCTTGGCTGAGGCTTTGGATTATGGGGGCGGTGAAGCCTGTGGGACAGCTCTACGGCTCTCCAACTGCATTATCTGGCCTGGAATCACTGCTGTGCATATGTTGTTCAAACTCCAAGAGGGGAGAGATGAATATTTCTGGAACAAATAAGACCCACCATAGCACCAGAACCATGCGAGGGAGACCTCGAGATGTAAACACGAAGTTTGCTGCTGAATTCACATTTTGCGGCATAAGATCCCAAACAAGCGAACATATGGAGAATAGGAATCAAAAGTCTTTTCTTCAAGTTTCTTTGTCAAGCATTATTGTGCAAAAGCAAAAACATCGAACCCTAGCTCACCAGAATTAAACAGAACGCTGGCACTACAAAGAAGTCCAAAATAGAGATTCATAACTCCAAAATCTCATCAAATCTTGACTCACCTCACTTTGTGGTACTCTTTTCAATTTTGAACTTCTGTGTTGGCGATATCAATCACATAAAAACGACCGAACACAAGCTTGATCTCGAGTGCATACTTCAAACACAATGGGTGTTATTTTGTATCTCACCCCAGTCCCCGCCACGCAAATTATCCATACTGACTGCAATCTCAAAACCATGTCCACCTTTCACAGCAGTTTGTGAGGAAACAAGCACTGTGACCCCCGATTTTTTTCCCAGGTATTTGCTAAGAACAGTCTGATAAAGAACATAGTTGAAGAAGAAAAAAAGTTTTATAGAAGAACATGATTTTTGGAGGGAAAATAGTTTCGTATTTGGTGTATAATTTTGGGTCAAGACGAGGACCTCAAGCTTAAACCACAGAACTGTTTGAAAAAGTGCAATGTCCCCTCAACCAGGCAATCAAAAACAAATTAAATGAAGCAATACTGTTTATTTGAATAGATGGTTTTCACAGTGACATCATCAAATTGTAAAGTCAAAATAGCGAGGTTTTACAAATTCTTATTTACCTGGGTTGAAGATAAACAAAAAGTAAATCTTTGTACCAGTTTACATTCCCGTAGCATGTTTCATTTCGAAAATAGAGCAATTTGAACTTCCGAGTTTTCACAATCCGTGACATCAAAATAGGAATGCTGTCTCACTGAAAAAAACTTAGCCTCTCCTCTTGATTTTCAGTAGACTGTATAACCATTTTAAGTATTAGAAGATATGTCTATGCGCACGTATGCTAGTTCTCTGGTGAAAAGAAAGAGCTTTTATAGAAAAAGTGAACTCCAGATGTTTTTGTTGATTTCCGGCAGCCATATTGGTGGACCAAAATGGTCCACAAATATGGCGTCTCCATACAAAGCTCTACAAAGTTGCGTGAAACGTTTTGGCAAATTACTCAGAAACTGTGGGCCACAAAGACGTGAGATTTGGACAAATTGTTTATACACTAGTCTTTTATAACATTTCATTTTCTTGGCTTTTTACACTGGACGGTTTCCAATTTACTTTTTTGTTGCGTGACAGTGAAAACAATCTATGTTATGTTCACGATAACATTTTCTGTGTTTCAAGTAACAAAGACTTAATTCTGTAAGAAGGAGATTCTAATTTTTAACACGCAACCAGTAAAAATACCCCAGTTTAAGAGCCTGCTGATGCGTAAACCAGCACGGTGACCCCATCTTTTTATTGCATTTTTTTAATGTTCATATCATGAATGTTGATAACATGTATGCCAAGTTTCAAAAAAAAGTTTGATGGTAAAACAATTTCAAGGGAATTACCTTAACTTGACTCTGCTTACGACTCCATTTTTTTATTTTTACTAGATCATGAGTGCTCTTACGACTCCGCTTACGACTCCGACTCCGTTGCTAGTGAAAACTGGCCTTAAAGGCTCTAGGCTTACAGGGTTCCTGCAGCATGCCCCACCTAAATCTTCATAAGTCCCCCTCCCATAACTGACATATGGTCTCAAAACATTTCTGATTGGACATCGGATTGAGACAGGTCCATACCTTGCACTGAAAGTCAAACATTTCTTCATATGTCCTGTGTATTGTGTCTGTGGTATCATCACCCCATAGCACCTTAAGAGAAATCAAAATTTCATGTGACTGATCTGCATTATTATAGCTAGGCCCCGTGACAGGCCATGCTAACAACCAAAATTACAGTGGTTACTTAGTTCTTGGCAACTAGGTGGAGCATGCCCCTTACTAAAATAAAAATTCCCTTGTTCTAATAAGCTTAAAAATAGTTATTATTATTATTATTATTATTACAATCATTATCATCATTACTATTATTAAAACAAAGTAATTACCTGTAGAACATACCAATGATCATCCCGTTTCCTCAAATCATGACGAGTCCTTCTTTCTTTTTCTTTTGCTTTTTCTATAGCATGTAATTTAAGTTCTTTGACATAAACTGTGGGAACAACAAAATGTGCAGGTGCCAAAAACATTTTAGCAAAGTCTCTTTGACATAGTCATTCAGCATTCAAGTAAGATATATTAATTTACATAGCTCTCATATAAAATTGAAATATGCTACTTATCCCATACATCTTATGAGTTCTTAAAACATTGTTTTGTTTTTGGTAAAATTGAAGAAATGTTTGGAATGAAAAATTAATCAGAGTGTAACCTTTCAAGAAACTGTATTCATCAGATCAAAAGCACATGTAAACAAGATATGTTATTCTGCGGATAATAAAGCTTTGGGGTGGGGGGGTGGACTATAGACAGTTTGCTTTGTCCCTGGGGAAAGAAAGCCCTGCCATTTTGTCTTCAACCCAGTCTTAATAAGGAAAGTTTCTATAGCCCCCTCAGTGTCTGTATAAATTCAACAGGTTTGACTTTACAACAATACTGTGATTGTATATAATGGTATTTCCTATCCCTCTAATGTAAATGTTTTTCTACGGAAATTCCACCCCACCCCATTATTTCAAAATAATTTTTGTTATTGAGGAAAGCAACTCTTTATAGCACTGAGGGTGTCTGGAAAAAAGGAAGTTGACTGAACAAATATTCGCAGTTAAATCTTATATTCCAAATGAACTAACTAAAGCCAAGCTGATTAATGGCCATCAGGCTACAACTAGAATGCGCTGCCATTGAAAAAGGTGGCAACTTTTTGTTTTAAATTTACATTTTAACAGTGAGGAATTTAGGAAAGGGGCACACCCCCACCCCACACAAATCAGACCAGAACAAGGCCCACAAGGCCAAGAAAATTTTTTTTCATTGTAGTCCTCCCTCCTCCCTTATCTTAATCCCAAGGTCTAAATATATAGCTGATAAATAACAGTCAGAATCAATGTAAAGCAGCCTACGTTTTTAAACAATCTTTCCAATAATCTCTCTAGCCACGCAAACAAGGTTTATACCTTTTTTGGTACAAGAATTCAAGGACTTTTCAAGGACCTTTAAGGACACAATAATTTTCACTTTTCAAGGATTCCATGCAATTGTTAATATTTGTTTTTACTATTTTCTGTTGCTACTACTCTACCAGTAACACTTATTGTTGCATTAGCATGTGAAAATTATCCTGCACAAAGAAATACAAACTACAAAATTGTAGAGGTCACTTTGGCCACCGTACTTTCAAGAACAGCACTTGAATGCAAAGAATGCAATTCATCTTGACTCAATTATTTTTGACACCTTCGATGCATCCAGAACAGAAAATTACCTCAGTAGTCAAAAAGGGTCACACGTCGCTTACTATGAATATCTTGTTTTGTGGTAACATGTCTGTGTGCTTTTTTGATTTCTGTTGATGTTTGCGTCTCTTACTGCCTTCATTAATATTGTTGTTTACATTTATATGTCCCTAGTAAGTGTCAAGACGTACTAGATTGCTCAGGCACGTCCCTTATTAAGCCGGTTAACTTAAGATGTAGGTATATAATGTCACATCCCACAAATTATCACATTCTGCAATTTAGCCACCTGACCTATTATTCATCACGTTATCTGCTTTCAATGACCTGCATTCTAAGACACTTTGGTGAAATGATGACATTAAGCGTAACTCATACATATTTCATATACAAAATATGTGCAGGGAGTGTTTGGTAAAAAGCAATTAAGACTGTCTCACATGTTTCAATAAGACTTTAAAAGCTGATCAAAAGAGGATTACCCCCCCCAAAAAAAATTAAAAAACAATCTCTTATTGTTCCTACTAAAACCTAATAAGAATTGATGACAATAAAATTATTTGTGAACCATTTGAACTGCAACTGCGAACACACTTAAACTCCATGGCAGTTATGACAAAAACCTACTGCAGTAAAAAGTAACAAATGATGCCAAACAATTCTTGACTAACAGCAATCAAACGACTTTGATTCACCTTCAGAACGCTGGAAACCACTTTTCATTAAACTAAAATCTTAAAAACTTTTGTGGGAGGGCATGCCCCTAGACATCCATAGTTTCCATGGCCATTTATTTGAACCCCTTGAAAAAAATGCTAGGTCTGCCCTAGCATTATGTGACAGAAATTAGAGAAGATTACCAGTATGTAAATACATTCTTATTTTTATTTTCAGCATATGGTGGTTCAGGGACATGGTATATTTAAAAAAAACCTAAGTAAAGTCCTTGTATGAATAATTTTATGGCCTTTCACCATTTGCATGCGGACGAAATAAAGCACATCCGACTTTCTAGGGTGAAAATGATAACTAACCTTTTTAAAGCCTAACTATTTTATCAAGCACAAGCAAGTATTATAGTGAAATTTATAGTGGCATGGTCCTTGAATTTAATTATTCACGTAATTTATTACTTGTATTTCTTTTTAAAAGATTATTAGATATTTAAGAAATTAATCTTTCCACACAGGATATTGATATTTCATAACATTCAAGGGAAGACAATATTTTATAATCTCATGTTTGCCATTCCAGGAAAGGTGACCTAGCTGAATATCAAATTATTCCTTACAGCTGTTAGATAAAAGTAGCTTTGTTAAAGCTAGTGTCGCGGGCCGTATTTTTTCTACAATACTTATTACAAAACGAATCCAAAGTATGAACAACAAGATGGCTTCACGGACAACTGTAAACACAAAAGTTATCGGCCAATTTACATATCAGCTGTGAGATTTATGACAAAATTAAGGAACGTTAGGAATCACTGCTGGACACAATAGGCTATTAAGCTTATTTTCATAAAAAACATTACAATTAAGCTTTCACGTTTGCTAAGTAAGCGAGATGAAGGTTAAGAAGATTAGAAATCAAACGCTGATGAACTCTTTAGATTTAACGAAAAATAAAATTACCTTCGGGAGTCTGATCTTTTGCCACTGCGGGCTGATCTCTCAATGGCAAATCCTCCCTTTCCGTTTTGCAATCTGGGGAGACTGTACCATCCTCGAAGTCGTCGTGTCGCTCAAACTTCGTTGTGACATCTTGGTCAAACGAAAATGTTGAGGATGCACTGCTTGATTCAGAGACAGTCTAGGTGAATAAATGAACAAGGGCAAATTAGAGTAAAACATTAACAGAGTTTTGGGATAGAATATTAAAGAGTAAAACGATACAGACCGTGACGGCCGCACTCTGGCATGACTTGTTCATTAAGGAAAACATGCAAAACGGATATCGCTGTTTGTTTAGAAATGAACCTCAGAAATTTACACTTTTGACATAATCAGGGTTTAAGACGCTATTTTAGAATTATGTCCTATGTTTTGCACAATGAATTTTACAACAGCGTTTTGCAAAAATGACTGAGTATTATTCTTACCTCACTCAGATCTGACGTCCGGTTTGCGGCTTGTTTGAGTTGCTTTAATTTTGCATGCAAGACATGTTTATGATGAAAGGAAAATGCAGGATGATGAGCTGACATGGTCATCAACAGTGACAATTCAGTGAAAAATTCTTCCTCTACAAACGTTGAAGGCTGATAATCATCAAGGATTCCGAACATAACGGCTGCTGCTTGTCGATTGCTGGAGTGAAGAAGAGCCAGACACACACACAGTTTTCGCCGAATGTGTGAGTCGTCCAAGCAAACCAAGCAGCTCAGGTCCGTTGGGTTGTTTGCCGTACTTTCAGCCTGTCGAAAAGCCAGGTAATCCCGTTGGACCTGAGCTTCCATGAAGGTATTAAAAAATCGAATTTCCCAAGGAAGACAACAGTCCAGTATATTGCAGATGAGGTCGATTCGATCATCTGCAGAAAGGCCTTTGAACCATGATATCACAATATCTTTCTTGATCATTTCATAAAATTTTCCCCTTCGCACGTCCGTGTAGTGTGTGGCGATCGCTAAGTGAACATATTGAAAAGTATTTCAACACTTGAGATCGCCGGGTAAACAATCAAGCACGCGCCAATCGATTTCTGGGACTTGTCTGACCACACGGTGCGCGCGGCAAGCTCGCAGAATAAACCAATTAAAATGCGCCTTTTATTCCCCGATCAATATCATATCTTCAATGTGGCTATTGTGATTCTTGCCTGACTAAATAAAAAAAAGAGCCGTCCACAAAGATCATTAGACCCACTGCTTAATTCTTAATGTTGGGTAATGCTTCGTGCAAAATTCGTCAGAGTTAAAGTCCATTAACATTCCCTTTTAAACATGGTGCGAAACTTCTCGATTGCTACAAATATCCTAATAATCCCTACAAGGGATTCAGAGGAAGGCGTATTATACAGCAGGCGTAGCTAGCGGAGAAGGGGGGTTTGGGATGTGTAAGTATTATATTCTGTTAAGTATACTATACATCGAGATATTACAGAAACAAAACATTACTTCTTTAATAGTGCTTTGATTCATTTCTTTACCCAGAAGGTAAAAATTGGAACGTTGCGTGTCTTCAACAAGTGACCACGCCTGTCTGGACATTTTATTTGCTTACATCACATATCTATCATATAAACTGTACCTTGAGCTTTATGCCCTCGAATTTAACTGTCAACAATGTACTATACACACAACAGATTACATTTGTACAAAAACAGCTTACCGCGACTGTATTTCTAACGCACAAAACCCTCAACGTATAAGAAAGAACCAGGCTGGCAAATAATTTGGTAGTTTTACCCATTTACACTGTGTATCAAAAAAGCTACAGTGTCGTCCATGCATCCTAGCAGAGATAAATTTTTGTGGTTTACGATGGATGTCATGCGACTAGTAAGTTCACTTCTCAAATTTCTGAAGAGAGGATTTTACTACCGGACAATTCGGGTTTTGTTCTTGGAAATGTTTCAAATTTTTCCAAATGCTTTTTTCTGTTAAAACTCGTTTGTGTTTGCACCGTCGCTGTTTATTCATAACACTTTTCAAACATCAGCAAATGCACCAACTGCTGTACTGTACTGTACTCCCCGCCAAATGAACTGAGCCGGGGATATGAAGCTCTCTGTACTGTTAGCTGCAATAAAGACCCCGTCGGTCAAGCAGATGAGGTAAAGAAACCCACATGAGTTGAAAACCCACACTGAATTCAAGCCGCCGCACCAAACCTGGTATGTCCACATGAGTCCGTTCCTAAACGTCATGTAGCTTTTACTGCTGTCTACTCTCTACTAGAACGATCTTATGCCCTTGCCTGTTTTGCAGGCCGTTTATGAAACATCTGTCTATGATTATCTTCACATCGGTTCACGGCGTGTGAGACTCACAAAGGAAAAAAAAGGTTTACAGGCTAGCTTCAACTGACTTGTAAAGATACCAATCATACACGCTACAAGGCTTCACGATAGAACACAGTCGTGATTTATATGCTAAAAAAAAGCTGTTAACAATCACTCGGATCTGTAACGGAGTGGAGTACTGTATCGTTTGTTTGACTCAGCAGCTTGACAGGCCTATATAACCTTATCTTTTGGGGGTTATCTCTCTCTGCTCTGTTTTACTCGGCCCTCCTGCACTGTGCGCAGCAGTCAGTATCACGATGCAAATCACGTTTCATCTAGAGAGAACTAACTGAATAAGTCACCTTCTTGCTGGGTTTCGTGAAAATATCCTTCATTTTCAGCTTCTCCTCGTCTTAAAAGAAACTTAATCTTTGCACTCGGAGCCGGGGTATGTAATGGCCTATACTACAGGGAGGCTTCGCCCGACGCTTGTACCTTTATCAGGCTGGGTAGAGATTTTGCTTGTTAAAGTACATGAAAGAGTAGAAAAATCTGTTATTTCGGTCTATAAAAGGACCATAAAAGGGCTGACAGTTGCATCTTATAAAACCCTTGCCGTGATGCAGACGTTCGCTCAACACCGCGTAAAAAAAACCGACTGTTTCCTTCTGGCTGAATCTCTAATGTAGTGATGCTAAAGCTAGACTTCACTTGAAATGGGAATATAAAACAAAACTGAATGCAAGGCTGGAAATACGGCAAAAGGCTGACTTATTTGGGGCCAAATATTTCGGCTAACAGTTGTACCTTTGAAAAGAGAAGAAAACTTCCTGGATTAATGATTTATTCATATTAAGAAGACGTTTGCATTTACATTTTTTTATTTAGGAATGGAGTGTTCTAATTTAGGAATGTGAAAGGGACACCATTCGTCAATTGAGGGGATACGAAATTAAAGGGGTACCTTTTCTGTCAAAAATGGTATATAAAAGAAAACCCAGCGGGGGCTGGACCTTGATTTGAGTCAAACCAGTGGGGTCAGTAAGAACTAGGGCATGAGGACAATGGTCGAAAACGGCGCTTATTTTGTTGCTTCGTATTAATAGAAACGATGTTCAAAAATTTGGAAAGACCCATGCCGTGACGTGTTGCTTAAAGGTTCGTGGAGGATCCTATAGGCGTCTGATTCGTGTAGGCATCTTGATGTCACGCACGACATGTGATCTCATACATTTACTGTATTTCGTAACGCCCGCTCTCGGCTTGATTCAAGTAATCAGGAGAAATGGTTCATAAAACACAGACGTTTAAACCTTTTGATTCCAAATGTTAATGTAAGATAAGAAAGATGAATAAGGGTTACTTACGACATGTTTTTATTAGTCGGGGGCGTCAGTTTCAAGCGACTCAAAACGCCACGAAAATTAATGGTAAGTAACCTTCCCGGCTTTTCATCTTTCTTACCTTACAGGCCCGGGGGCGTTGATATTTGGGATGAAAAGGTGTAAACTTCCGTGTTTTATGAAGCCAGCTGTAGGGGTGTGTTCGAGCAACTCGCTCGCTACACGATAAGGTACCAGGAATCTGATTTACATCTTGCCTTAATTCTTCTTCCACTTCTGCCAACAATCTTAATCTTCTTACTCTTCTAACTCTTCCACTTACTCACCAACTTTCTTCTACCAACTTGTACTCCTTCTACCAGCTAACGCAGCGAATTAAATAGCCAAATTGTAGACTTATTTTGGGTTAGCTGACCGGGAGAGCTTCTATTGAATATCTTATCCCTTATATTGCAACAGGTTTGCCATTGTTAGATTAGCCAACACAGCAACAACCGACAAGTACCAAAGAACCAGTTAAATGCTAACAATGAAACTGCCCGGAAGGACCAAGCATACAAAACAGGAACTCGATTGTGGGTAAAACTCCGGGGTAAAACTCAAGGTCAGCTGTACTCCTCGAACAAGCCTACTTCAAAGAACCAAAACTAAGCTTAACAAACACTTCAAATGGACAATACTACACAAAAACGCAGGAACTAACCATGTGGGGCCGAAATACATTGAATCTCCTCTTACTATATACTGTTTATTACGAAGCTAACAAAACCTTAAAAATAGCACAACTGAAAAGCAAAACTAAAGGCAGGTACTTTATAACACAGGAAAACACCTACGTAGACAAGAATCAAGACTAACCTTGACCCACTTGATGAAACAAAACTAAACGTAAAAGATGAGATAAATCCATATTAAAAGTAACTTTCTAAATACTTCACAGCAAAGCATTTCTCCCGATCACTTGAATCAAGCCGAGATCGTGTGTTACGATATATACGATTACCTTATCATTGTATGCAAGACCCTGAAGAAGAAGGCCGTGCGTTCCGAAATATTGGTAACAAAAAATATATATTCCCAACCGTAAAATCAGCCTTGCTTCTTTTTTACGACATGTCGCGCGTGACATCAAAATGCCTCGAACAGTTAGGATGGTCGGGCTGTGGTGTAACTTTGAGAGAAGTCAAGAGGATATTCAGTTAGGACTGGGACGAATCCAGGATTTGACGAACGGGGGTTCGGATAAACGCCCGCCGAAGGCGGTAGCCCCTAGGTGGGTCCGGGGGCATGCTTCCCCGGAAAATTTTTAATTTTAGGGCCTCTGAAATGCGATTTCCAGCGTTTTCAGGGGCAATTTGAAGTGGCTTAATTGCTCTAAAGTCACCTCCATTTTTGTGCTAACTACAGTAGTTTAAAGGATGGATTTTCTTAACAATGACAATAATCGAGACGGACAAACATTTTAAATTCATCCAAATGAAAAATTCATGATTCCTCAAAAATGGGATCAGCCAGCAACATTCTCCGGGGTTGCTGTTCTGCCAATTTCTGTACAACAGCATCATAATCCACGGGTTTAGGGGGTTCGACCGAACCACCCGAACCACCCCTAGATCCGCCCCAGTAGGAAGTACAAAGACTCGTCAAAACGCTGAGGAGGACATGTGAGAAAGGAAGTCACGGGTCGATGGATGTAAGATTTAGATTGTGGAAGGGAGGGGTTAGGCTTGGATCATGGATGCAAACTCATAAGTGAAAAAGATATTTTGAAGTGCGCGTGATTGTCAAATGCATTAATTTTAAGTGGCAAGTGGTAGGAAGGCGCAGTGATTTCTCCTGCTTTCCGTTTGTCAATAGGAATTCATTAATGAAGGAATCGCTGTTCAATGCAACAGGAATTCTAATGACATGTTAGTTGCATATATATTAACAGTAGTGTGTAGGAATTGATTTTAATCATGTAAAGAAAGTGAAGACAGCATCAATTTTTGACATTATGTGAAACATTGGTGTTTATTAAATTTATAACGCAAATTAATTCTTTGCATCACGCAGTTGTCCTACCTCAAGCTATATGAGTCGAATTTTGCGCGCTGAAGCTCGTCAGCAACTAGTTACGTGAAGAACCTTTTAAAGGTGTGGTTAAAGAAAGGCATTTCTTTAGCTTGATCCTTGCCCTTTTCTATTTTTCAACTTTGGTAACTCCATTAGCTGAAAAAAATTTGGTCTTAGCTTCCTAAATCAAATGGAAGGCTAACGGAGTCTTAATCTGCTTAATGACAGTTAAACGACCTAATCCTCTCCGCTCTCTGTTGGTGCTAAAACTGACACAACTGAAGATTAAGCA